AACCGATGTAAGAACTTCACTTAAGAAAAACAAATTATAGCTATACAAGGTATTGTTATACTGAGCAAAGTTGTAAGATGAAAGTCAAAAATTGTCGTTCTTTTCTCATTTTTTTGTGCAGCTCACTTTGTGTATGACGTTCAGAGTATACTGTTTTGTACTTGTATATCAACAAAATTAAACTCAGTAATATTGGGTTCTTTCTTGTATTGTATACGAACGTTACCTAAAGTATATTAGTAAAGTTCTCTTACATTTAAGTTGACTCAACACGTAGCAAATCAATAACGTACTTGATATTAAGATTGTATGAAGTCTTAAGTTAATATTAAATACTTTTATTGTAATTTTTTACAAGTATAAGGCAGTATTATACTTTATTTAATATACAAAAAATAAATGTGAAGTGACGATTTGCGTAAATAAATACAATTTTTATTTTTTATTTTTTATTTTTTTTTTGTTTTCTTTTGCAATGACAAAATTTTCAGACTCTTAAATGAGTCATACCTAACGAGAGTCATCACCTTACAAAGCTGATTGCGCACTTTGTGTCTTTTAGAAGTGTTAAATGACAACCAAAGTGAGCTACATACCCTAAACACATGAAGGCAACAAGTACCGCCCCCATTGTGTGTAAGACCATGAAGTTCTGACAAAAGCTTCTCGCAAGGTACATTTTTAAATACGGCGTTTTAGTTAGTAGTTACTCATCGCTCATTAAGTGTTAACAAGTTGATTTCTTTAATTTTTGTAAGATGGGTCACTTACTAGTTTGTTCATACTCATTTATCATATTTAATGGAATTTTATTTTCTTTTAGAAAAAAATTTTTTATCATATTTTTGTTTTGTTTAGCTGATTTATTTTACAAAAATATTTTGCTAGGGCCTAGCCGTAACACATATGTAAAAGAAAGCAAATTCGTTGTATACATACATGAATAATATCTATAACCATGTATTTGTCACGCTACACACAATTAACAATGCGTAATAGAGAGAATTTTTTTCTTATTTGCGTGCGTAAATACTTGTTTGACGCATGCATGTATAATGAAATTGCAGTTTCCTTTATGGGTGAACGCCTTTCAATAGAATGGTCCGTTTACTACGTGTAATATCCAAAAACAAAGGTTAGAGAATGCAATCAAGCGTGCATATATAGTACAGACTGCTTTACACTAGGTAAAGAGCATACGGTGCAGGGATTTTTAACGTAGCATGTGTGGCTATATATCTAAGTTTCTAGGCAAGCATCGTCTAAAGTGTGGTGTATAATTAAAGGCTTTATTGCACAGGGAAAGAGAGAGAGAGAGAGAGAGGGAGAATGTTTAATCTATAATTTGGTTTTTTTTTTTTCATATTTTAAAGAAGCACAATTATCAGAGCTTAAATACTGTATTAATAACTTTCATGTATTTTTGAATTTGTTGAATTAAATTTCAGAATCATTTCACTTCTGCTTAACCCCAAATTCTGAATCGTAACCTTCATTTTTCTGAATCGTACACACTACTTGTATTTACAATTTATTATTTTTTTTAATTAGGGTTTGTTGTACAAGATAATATTTGTAAGAAAAGTTTTTTGCTACTTTTTTTTTATTTTCTTGCTATTCGTCCACGTAAGAAGAATTATGTGCTGGTATAATTGGTATTCCAAATCTTTACTTAAACTTTTTTAAAATTTATTCTCTGTATTATAATATTTTTGTTAACTGAGAAAGAATCGCTTCGGTTAGCAGGTCTTGGATATAGAATTTGCTTTATTGAAGCAGGACTAAGAACAGGAATCGCTTGGTTGAGCAGATTTAGGAAATGAATAGACAGACCGTTTAAGTTAGCAGACCTGAAGTTAAGGTGTATCTGTATGTGTAGTATAAGACATCTGTAATTTTTATGTCTCACTATTATTTAATACATAATGTTATTTTATTTTTAACTAATAATTTTGATAAGACGGTGAGTGTTTTCTATTCATCTTATGGTTTATTTATCAAAGCTTATAACTTTCTTCTTACTTTCTTCAAATTATAACAAAATACTGCTAATACTTCCTCCATGCAAAGGAACATTAGATACACGAGTGTACACACTATACCATATGGGGTCATTATCAAAGGATTACACGTCATCCTTTAACATGCTTCTTTGAATGGTGTTTATTATTTTTTCAAAAACAGTTATAATAAACTATGTAACAAAAAAACAAATAATCATTGACTTAATGATCTTTAGCTACAATTTTTGTTAAATAACTACGACTGTCATTTCTTCCTACCTTCGGCTTGGAACATAAATTTGTGGAACGTAGCCTCACGCTATTTTACAGGCTCTGAGACTAGCAGACAGTCTAACTATTTGTTTGCTTAGTATTAAAGAGATTTGTTAAAGAGAAGTAAGAACAGGGACGATGTAAATACGTCAGTATTAGAATATATCGTATTGATTTACCCTATTTTTTCCTGGCTTGTAGATTATGTACTCTTCAAGGAACTTATGTAAGCTTTTTATTTTTAAATATCTTTATTCAGATTTTACTGCAAAGAATGTTTGTCCACACATGATAAACTGGTAAGTGACACCTCTTACCAAATCTCAAAAAAAAACAACTTGTTAACACTCGATGAGCAGTGAATAGCTACTAACTAAAACACCGTTAGTAGGAATGTACCTTGTGAAAACCTTTAGTCAGAATTTATTGGTCTCACATAATATGGGGCCAGTCCTGGCTGACTATGTATTTAGGGTTTGTGGCTCACTTTGGTTGTCACTTAACACTTCTGAGAGTCAGGAAGTGCACAGTCAGCTTTGTGAGGTGACAACTTTGGTTAAGTATAACATTTTTAAGAGTCTTAAAATTTTATCATGGTGAAAGGAAAGAAAAAAAAATTAAATAAAAAATGTGTTAATCACTCAACATTTTTTTTTTGTGTAACAGAAATGGTATCATACTGCCTTGTACTTGTGAAAAATTACAATCAAATTATTTAATATTGACTTTTGACTTTATATAAACCATATATTAAGTACGTTATTGATTTGCCACATTATGAGTCAACTAAAATATAAGAGTAAAATATAAAACTATACCTATATATTTAACGTATGGTTCGCTTACAAAACTAGTTAAAACCCAAAATTACTGAGTTTAATTTTGTTAATATGCAAGTACAAAACAGTATACCTTGAACGTCGTACACATCGTAAGTTGCAAAAAAAAATGAGAAAAGAATGACAATTTTTTGACTTTTGTCTTACAACTTTGCTTAGTATAACAATACCTTGTAAAGCTATAATTTTTTTTTAATAAAAAGTACTTTTATCGGCTATTAAGATTACACGTGACGTCAGATTAAATGTTACAAATAGTATAAAAAGTATTTATTATATTTTGGTACAATAATGCTTAAGCAGTATGTTATATTTTAAATCCTATCACAAATCACTTTTTTTTAACCGAAAAAACTAAAATGTCATATTCTGAGTTTATTTTTGTATTTACTTATATTTCTTACACAAAAAAATTGTTGCTTATGTTTCCGAGTTCATCGAAGTTTTTTGTAGTATTTTGGAATTTGATAATACATAAAAGACTTGAATTAGTTTTAAAACACAAAAATAAAGAGATATACGGAAGTTTGATTTTAGATTCATCGATGTCTGATTATAAAGATATAAACAAAATATAAAGTGATATTAACCTGGAACTATGATCCAGCACGTGTAATGTTTTGATATGACAAGGCTATTAGTTCACCCAGAGTAATTTGTATTGGTTCCTTATGTTGATAATGAAATCCATAGTTCTAATAATTTTCTAGATAACTAGAAGAGAGGAAAAAAACGATGGGGTTGACCTGCTCTTAGTACTTGCAGTGCAAGCATCAATAAGTGTGGAATATCGGAAAAGTGAAATAGCATTTTTCCATTCGCACGACTGACTTTAGTTTCTACCGTGAATTCGACCTAATTTTTTCTTACTGGCTATTCTGGACGATAATCTCTGTGATAATCATATTTAACGGTGAAATTGGCTGATGGTTTATTACCCTTAGGTGCAAATGAGTTGATAATTTATATCACTAAATAAAGGTACAAGGAAATGTGATCAGAGATGCATTTTTAAATGTTTGGAATTGAAGCCTGTTTTTACGACAATCGCACTTGTCAATACTTTAAGTCAGTAAAAATTAATTATAAATCGAAATCATATTTAAAGTATTTTATTTACTAAGCACAAAGTTGTTAAAAATGTCTAACGTATACTATTAATCTTGATGAAAATTTTAAATCTCATAATTAATAACTGGTTTTTGTCAGAGTCGCAGAGGATGGACTAAGGGAGTTAGGGTCAGAGCTTAACTACCCAGTGCTACAGTTACACTGATACCACCGTGCTCTATCAACGTTCGTTCTCTTGGCTTTTTTTGGCCGCTTATTTAGCTCTTTCCCTTTCTTAGAAATAGTGGGGAAAATACACTACCCTTCTATGTAAACGCATTAACGTTCAAACGAAAAGTTCTTATGTACTATAATAATAAAAACAATTGTAGAAAACACAAGTTTATCTTTTTAGTTTTCATGATAACTATTTTTTAAGCTTAAATGACTTACTTTCTTTTCTAAAATGACAACATTTTCTTACATGACTGAAAATTTATCTTTTGTATCTGTCAGTTGGAGGATAACTCGTCCTACCGTATTAAAAAAATTTGCTTCTATTGTTCACTAATACAGGTGTTTTTCACTTATACCAAGTAAGTTACATCACAAAAACTACTTTAGAAAATTTTATATTTTGCTTGTGTAGCTTAAGGTCGCAAATTTTTATCAACTGTAAAACATAAATGTTGTTATTTGTTATTTCTGAGTTTTAACAAGTATAATTTACGTCAGTTTTTTAAACTTTCTTATTAGTTTATCTTTATTTCTTAAAAAATGTTAATATGTTTAATGATGTACGTGCAAGTAATTATGTATATGTGAATTTTCTTACCACAAGCCGTTGATACGTGTATTGTAAGAAAAACAACGCATAGGCATTGTCCCAATGGTATTAGTCCATTTAGAAGACCAGATATCCAGAACAATATGCCTGTGAATAGAACAGGCTCTATAATTAAGCCAGGAATCTAAAAATAAGATAATAGATTATTTTATTGTTTTAAGACACCAACTTGTTCATCAAAAAAGTATATAGCACTTGAGATTTTATAACTTTAGAGACAAAAAGAGTTAGCAATAACTGCAAATTATATTCATACCCTAAAATTTTCAAAAAATTTTTTTTATTCTGAGGAAAAACAGCAAGTACATTAAAAATAACGGTAAGAGTACCAAAAAAATTAATTAATGTCATGGTATAAGTTGCCTTTGGTCTCACATAATATACCGAAGTAGAATTGTAACACATACCACAAAAATTTACGATTAATTAAAGTCTACCATCTAAAATGTGTAGGTACGTACGAACTTTAACAAAAAAGTGTTACATTCTGTTTGTGTTCAAATTCTATAACATAACCGTGTGTTAATTCAACAATTTTGGCGTATAATATGTAACTAGTCATCAGAGTTATGATCAGTTCTTTTCGCATTATGTTAACCATTTTCGTTATAATTCAATAAACTTTTTTTCTCCTGATCATTTCAATCCTAATAATTTCGTAATAATTACAGGTTCACATTTTTTTTACGCATGTTCAAGCTCAGGTTAGTTAATAAGATGCTGAACTACGCCACGAGAGCTCAGGGATTCAACACCTCCCTCCGACATTTATTAATTTTTTTCTGTTTTAGTCATAATATATGTATTTNATATGTTTATTATTATTATTATCAGCACCATTATTATTTTTATCATCGATATAATAATCGTCATTATCATTTCAAGCCTTTATGTATTATGATTGTCAGTATTATAGTCATGTCCATTGTTATCATCATCGTTATTGTTATTATTATAATCATCATATTTATCTTTGTCATAACTATTGGCATTTTCTTATTATCATCCTTGTCGTTAGAATCATCGTCAGCATTTTTTTGAATGCCATCATATTACTAATTTTATTATTGTCACCGTTTATATTGTTGTCGTCATAAGCATTTATATTATTATCATTAAAATTTTCACTAATGTTATTATTATCAGCATTATAATTATCATCGTCATAATCATTTTCACCAACATTATTATATTTATGACAATTTTTAATTATTAGTGAAAGAATTTATGCATTCCAGATATTAATAACTGATTTTAATGCACAATAAATAAAAAAACACTTTTAACACTATAGGTTTACTGCTATCAACACTAAAAACAAATGAAACTTTTTTCATTAATAAATTAATATCATTATGCAGTAGATGTTTTTCACTTACTGTAGAAACGGTTATTACTTATCTATAATAATGCTGAAATAATTCATTAAATTTTTTAATAGTTTTCTACATATCGTCCTTAAAATTACACCATTTTATTGACATTCTACTCGTAAACTACTTAATAAATTTAAATCGTGTATTATTAGACTTTAGAAACGTTTAAAGAATTCCCCTGAAACATATTGTAAGTAAATTTAATACACATTTTTTTATATTTACTTAAGTGTACTGAAATTATATATACCTTGTTTCTATCAAGAGTTCTCCGTTCTCTGTATTGACTTAGATATTCTGAAACACTCTGACAGCAGTAACTAGCGTACACAGCATCGTAATCTGAGTCATAACTGGTTACTAAACAATGTTTTTCATAATTTGTTTTTGAATGAAATTTACAAAGCTTTCAAGACTGTTAAATAATGCCTCTTTAAAACCGATTTTCTGGTAAGAAGATTTTTGTTATTTTGTAGCCCAGAAGTATGAATGTAGCGATCAAAAGACATCATACTTAAGTTATTGCAAAGGATGCAGTTACAGATACATCCAAATAATATCTTTTGTTAGTTACTTACTTTTTATTAGCTTATAAATATTATTACCTTTGCAGTGTAATCCTTGATTTTAATACCACATAAACACATAAGACATATTATTGTACACCTACTATAAATACTTTTATATTAAGCAATCACAGCACTTTAGAATTTTCTTGAATGTTAACTTATCAGAAAATTTTAATTTAACAGGAAACAAGTTTTTGATGTTATTATAGTTGTCGTTAACAAATAATTAAAAGAAGCACAAGCTTTACGCAAGTGTCTCGTTAATTGGCAGTATATACTTTCAATATTTTGCTACATATACTTTGGAAAATAATGGTTATGAATTAGTTATTAATTTGTGGCTTAGAACACTACTATTAAGCTGCTTTTATAATTAACAGAAGTAGAATGTTTATCATACAAAACTTTTTTGATAAGTTCTGCCAGTTCGTACAAGATAAAAAAAAAGAAAATCAAGAAATGGTGGAACATAATGATATAGCGATGGCAACATTGGAAAATTTTGAAAAATTATGAGAAGAATAGATTATTTTGAATGAGTGGTGTGTGTTAGACTGAACGGGTATATTACAATCTTTTTTTTAAAATATTTTTTATATCTTGTTTAGTTGTATTGCTCTGCAGATCCACATTCAAGTTTTTCTTCAAGTTACTTTTTAAGTTTTTTTCCAAGCTCCATATTTTCAAATACTTTTTCATTATAGATCTTTTCAAATTCATCAGTAGTAAAGAACATTAGAGGTTATTATTACATACATTTTAATTGTTACAAACTAATTAGCATTAAGTACATTAAACTTGCCTTTATATAAAAAATTACCTCTGTTGTAGAGTATTGTTTATTACCACTAACACTTTCACAGGAACTGCACCTCTCAGAAATGATTAAAAATCCTCTTTTTTTTACAGGAGATCTCAAGTTCTACATTATTGCAGGAAGATAATGCATCTAAAAATATACGACAACAAAATAAATGTATATGCACCTTCCTGTTATAATGAGGATAGCAAAAGAGCTTTCGTTGGGAAAAGGATTATGCTGTGAGATAAAAAAACCTCACGTATAGAATGGGCCTTGGAACAGCCTTTCTTACCTCATTCAGTTTCTAAACCAGTAAAACATTACACCAAAAAAAAATATAAAAGCAAAAGTTGTAAGTTTCGTACTATGTATTATACTTTTGACAAATTTTTAATAATAATGAAGTAGGATAAAGGAGAAAAGTTACGAGAAGAACGAATCAGTAGTTGTTCTTTACGAGCAAGGGCGTTGGTCACGGCCCTTACTACGTATTTTTGTTCATACAATTAATAACAAAAAACTTTTTATCTACTATTTACCACAATATTCAAGAAAAAAGGATCAGATTGGAATGAAATATAAGATAATTGAGAAAAAAAAAGTCTAAAGTAAAAATAGAAGATAGTTTAATGGAATGCTATTGTAGGCTAAGGTCTAAGTGTATATAAATTTATTATAAAACAGTTTTTATTTTTATCACATTATTTATTTATTGAGAATACATAATAAAATCATTTATAAAAATCAGTAGTATCTCCGCTTTCACTTCAGAAAGTAGTAGCAATCAGAAGGTCACAAACAAATTTTTTTAGTATCTTTTCATCAACAAATACGTCTTATTAATCATCATAATCACCATTATCGTCATGGTTGTCATCATCACCGTCATCATCATTATCATTTAGTCATTAGAACTATTATCAGTACTTCTATTATTTTCATTATTTTTTTTATCATTTTTATCATAGTTATAAATACATTTCTTATTGTCATTATTATTGTCATCGTCACTGTTCTTATAAACATCATCATGATAATTTGAGTTATTAAAATAAACATCCTAATCATAACTATCATTATTCTTATTTCTATACTTAGTCTTAATATGATTATCCTTCAAACCATTTTTTTAACAACATTATGAACAGCATTATTATGAACATTGTCATTATGATTGTCAGTATTGTTGTTTTACATTTAGTAGGTTATACCGTAATTATTATTGTTATTTAGGTTTTTATTTAAACCATTTTAATAAATATTATGTGTTTTTTCTGTTATATGTTTATTATTATTATTATCAGCACCATTATTATTTTTATCATCGATATAATAATCGTCATTATCATTTCAAGCCTTTATGTATTATGATTGTCAGTATTATAGTCATGTCCATTGTTATCATCATCGTTATTGTTATTATTATAATCATCATATTTATCTTTGTCATAACTATTGGCATTTTCTTATTATCATCCTTGTCGTTAGAATCATCGTCAGCATTTTTTTGAATGCCATCATATTACTAATTTTATTATTGTCACCGTTTATATTGTTGTCGTCATAAGCATTTATATTATTATCATTAAAATTTTCACTAATGTTATTATTATCAGCATTATAATTATCATCGTCATAATCATTTTCACCAACATTATTATTGTTACTATTATTATTTTTACTAATATAAGTATGGTTATATTTTTTCTTATGATAATCATTATCTTGATCATTATTATTATCTCCATTGATATTATAGCTATCGTTAAAACCATCATTGTTATTGTAATAATTACTGTTAACAGTGACATTATTAGGGTCATCATCATTGTCATTGCTATCGTTTTATTACCATTATAATAAATAGATCGATTACTATCATTACTAATAATATTCTCAACATTATAACTATTATTATTATAATAATTATCAACACTCTCAATATCATTGATATGATCATCATTATTATTATCGTCGTTATCATTATCATCATCATCATTATTATTAATATCTTAGTAAATCATATTAATATCATCATATCATCATTATTATTGTTAAAATTATTATTGTATCTTACTCATCATCACCATTACCAATGTTGTCATTTTTCTTGTCAATGTCATCGTTATCATACTAGTTATTGTTACTATTAGTATCAAATTTAAAACTATTGTTATCTTTACTGCTTGTACCTTTATTATAATGATAACTTTTTTTTTCGTCACCGTTATCAGTGCAATTATCAATTATTAGAGTGATAGTATAAGAGAATAACATTTAACACATTATTATTATTATTAAGAATATTATTATCACTAT